CATCATCAGAACAAAAAATCTTACCATAGTGAATGAGGGGGGGAGTGCAGAGTGGAAACCCAAAGCCCATTTGTAGGCCACTGGACATCCCCTTATAGAAGGGTCTCGGGGAGGAGATGAGCCAGTCAGGGTGCGATGTAACAACGATGAAACATACAACTTTTCTCTAGTTCCTAAATGCTTCCTCCCCACCCCTCACCACTATCATGATCCCAATTCTACCTTACATATCTGGCTAGACCAGAGGATGTACACTGGTACATACACTGGAAACACAGGGAATCCAGGACAGATGATCCCTTCAGGACAAGTGGTGTGAGTTGTAATACTGGGAGGGTGGGTTGGAAAGGGGGTACTAATTACAATGATCTACATATAACCTCCTCCCTGAGAGAAGGACAACAGAAAAGTGGGTGAAGGGAGACGTCGGATAGTGCAAGATATGACAAAAGAATATAAATTATCAAGAATTCATGAGGGAGGGGGGAGGGGGGGAAGGAGGGGAAAAAAAGAGATGCTGATGCCAGGGGTTTAGGTGGAGAGCAAATGTTTTGAGAATGATGAGGGCAATGAATGCACAAATGTGCTTTACATAATTGATGTATGTATGGATTGTGATAAGAGTTGTATGAGGGAAAAAAAAAAAAAAGTTGTATGAGACCCTAATAAAATGATTGAAAAAAAATTAGGCTGGTGCCTCTTATTTTTTGGTAAATTTTCATAAAAAACATACATAAAACTAGTAATTTTTTATTTCAACTTTTTGTTGCACATATAGCTTAGTAACATTAATTATGCCTCTTAATCATCATCAAGTAACAAACTCTCATGGCCATCTTGTGTATACTTGACTTCTCCAGAGCCTAGTAGTTTGATATAGTAAGCTTTTGGCATATACTTTGTTTACATATAGCTCTTAAATCACCAAATACCTCTAGATTATGAGGTTAGAAGGGTTCACTGAGGATACCGAATATAGCGCAAGCAACATTTGCAAACAAAACAAAACTGTCCTGTAAGACTGCACAGGTTACACAGCTCTTTCATTACGCAGGGAGCTTTCTCAAATGCCTCTTTCCTGGGAATTTTCATACAACACATCAAGCATTCAAACTGTTTTGTTTGTACCAAAACATACAGGAAGAAATAGCAATAAAAATTCTTCTAAATATCATCTACTTCCACATTACTGACCAAATTACAAATTCAAACGTAAGCGCCATTTCTAGCGAAGAAATAGGAAACTATAATCAAATGCTTAAAGACACATGACATTTTTCCGGACTCTTACACTCACAATACCCAGGGAAACCACAGAGCATGGAGAACACTTATGGTGACCACAACTCTGTATGAAAACTGCAACTTCAACAAGCTACTTACTACTTCTTGGTCTAAGCGTGTAACCATTTCTTCTAGTTTCTGGTGGCCTTTTTTCAGGTCT